CCAAACCATGCTGTAATTCCATGATACTGCTGTCCTGTCCTCACACCTGATCCATTTGCCTGGCAGCAAAGTGACCCACAGCCCTGAGCTTTGGGGCAGCAGCTTAGACCCCACCAAGTTGCTATGCAGGTCAGGAAGAGGGGAGGAAGAAGCAAGCTTTTGGGGTCAGAGCGAGCAGCGGTCTATGAGGGTGCCCATAGCAGACACAGGGTCTGCTGTCCCGGCAGCTTTACTCATACTGAGCCTGGCCAGTTACAGAATCATCCTCGAGCACGCTCTCCGCTGTGCCTTGACAGCAGGAGCAGTGCAGTGACGTAGCTCAGCAAGATTAACCACAGAAAAGGGAAAAAAACGCTTCACCGAAACCCCAAAACCCAAGCCTTCAGCCGCTGACCTCAATGAGAGCTGCTGCTGCAGCGAGGCAGAGGCAGGAACACACGGACAGGAGGGACGGGACCCACAGCCCACGCTCTGATGGGTTCAGCTCTTTGTGGAGCTGCCTCCTGCCATCAGCTGGGGCATCAAGACCGGGAAGGCATCGGGGAAGGGCCAGCTCCCGGGGCAACACACTTCTCCCCTCTTCACAACAGGCATCCCTAATCCCCATCCCGTGCATGTAAAACCACCTCACCCACAACAGGGGGTGGATTTACAGCCTCTTTTATTTTCACAGGCAGTGTTTTCCGCTGTTCAGGCATTCAAATGTGTCAGAGGGGCAAAGCCTACAGCCCTGCACCCCACTGCTCTTCCTCCCCAGGCTCTGTTCGCCAGGGGAAAGATGTGAAACACAGCCCCAGGCTAAGACACAGGTCACAGGCTCTTCCTACAAGAGCAACACTTCCATGAGACGCTGCATTACACTGTCATCCAGCGGAGAGGTCCTTACACCAGCAAAGGTGGCACACCTCACCTGCGTCACAGGTGAGTGTGAGTGTGTGCCACAGCTGACCTTTGCGTAGAATCATCTTTCCAGTGCTACCGAGCTGCCCTCGTCCTGCCCTATTTTTGCCAGCGGATTATTTCTATTTAATCCATTAATTCCTTCGCTTTATGCTGATACGGCATATCAGAGCATCGCCAAGGGGGCGAGAAGACTGAATCAGCTCTGTTCAGCCTCAGGCAACCTTGCTGACTCCAGCCGTGTACGTGTCCGTCACAGCGACGCAAGGTCACAGCAAGCGATTATCGTTACGGACTCTCTCCAGGACTTTATGGAATTAAGAGCTATAGAGAAAGGGAGAAACCAAGAAGCAGAGAGCAGAGAGAAACGAGGTTACTCCAAGTTACTCACTCCCGGTGAGCTGCCAAGGTTGGGAAATTATGGTCTGGCCACCCAGACAAGCAGCATACGGGGGGTTCAGGGGACTCAAGGTCTATGAAGAGCTTATGAAAATAAAGGGAAAAATAAAGAGAACCAAGTGGATATGGAAAAAGGAGAGGGAAATGTTGGGGCAGGAAAGGGAAAGGAGTTCTGTGCCTTTCCATGCAAGAAGCACAAATGACCTGGAGGATTTGTTTCCACAGAGCAGGGCAAGTCCTTCTGGTCTGCAAACCAGTGCATCTGCATTCAGTGGGTCACTGCCCCCTGCTCGCCCCCACTGCTCAGCACCGCTTCCCCCAGCTCCCACCGGCGATTAAGAGAAATCGCCCTGAAAGCCGCTGGCCATCTGGTCCCACAGCAGGATGTAAAACCCCACAGCTCCATACAAGAGGGGCCAAAAAGCAGACCCCAGCGTAGCACCGCGAGTCTCTCCGTCTAACCGAAACACGGGCAGGGGGCAGAGGTAGATGGGTTTTCAGAACCTGGAACTGCATCTGGGCTCCACTCCATCACTGCACTCATTTCCAGTCCTTATAGGAAGCTCCTATATCCAGGGCTGCGTGGCAAAAAGCCAGCCCCCAAATCAATTTTCAGTGTAGCCGTGAGGGAAGTGGTTCCTACAGACATGGCTAAAACGGCGTCAGATGTCTGGACACACCAGCAGAGCCCCTGTCAGAGGCGCACGTGGAAATCATGGCCAGCAGACGGGTCAGGAGCGCTGCTATGCAAGCAACCTTCACCCAGGGTCCCAACACGCTCCCCAAAGCTGGGGGAGGAGGGTCTACAGAGCAGAAAAGCAGGATCATTCTCAGTTTTAAGACAGACCATCCAAAAAGAAGAGGTACTAAAAGATAAGAAACTTCCCCAAAGCCCCCTCTGCATATTGAACCCCAGCGTCGTACTCGTCTGGAGACACACGGGAGGAATCTGGCACTCTGTGTCTTCACCAAAGCCTCACTACACTCTGCCAGTGCCAAGCTGCTTCGGAGAGGCCCGACGGGCACACGGGCTGCCATCACCACTGGCACTACACAGCTTTCCAACACGGCACCGGCAGCCCAGCGCCGGGCACTCCGCCGGGCACCGACCTGGGTGGCAACTGTGGAAGCTGCTGCCAGCCCAGGGACAGGCTGGCTGTCTCCTCAAACCCACTGGCCTCCAGCACATCCTGACACAGGCATCCAGATGGGGATCTCTCCAGGGTGGGCAGTGCAAAGCTGCCGTGCCGGGCAGCGTGCACGTGGGCAGCCCACCCTCCCGAGCCCAGTGCCCGACATTACTCTCCAACACATACACCCATCTCGGAATCTTCCCAGGAAAATCGTCTGTATATGTCAGCAGAGGCCACAGCAGGTAGCCCCATGCTGCCTGCCTGCTGCCTGCAGCCCCATGCTGCCTGCCTGCGGCCCAGCCTGGTCCTGCCTGCTCGATGAGGCTGTGCACAACTAACCCCAGGCAGGAGCCGGTCACTGCCAGGCTAGTTCTGCCCCCTGAGAATAGTCAGAGTGGAGCACCATCACCCAGCCAGCCTTTCCTAAGGCAGGAAGCACATCGAAGCCCCGACCTGGGATCGGCTGCAAGCTTGGCAGCTGAAGACCGGGATGAGACAATACAATTAACACTGGGAAAGCCACATACACACATCACCCGAGCTCTTACCACCTCTAGAGAGCTGCTGTTACTTTGCAGGATGACTCCAGTGTAAGTCACAGCCCCACGAGGATTTTCGGCTGACAGCACATAAGATGGGAAGGTCATGGATTGAGAAGCACTTCTTCCAGAAGGAGTAATTACTGCACCAAGTGCTTCCCCAGCCCTCCCTCCCACACCCATCCCTAATGTTTTCCCTGCTTTTGCATCACTCCTCAACAAAGTATAGGAAACGGCACAGCATGTAACTCTGCAAGGAGCCACACAAAGCCACGAGGAGTAGGTATGGGATAAGGTGGATGTGCTGCTGATGACATGGAGTACCAACAGGGAAGGGGGAAGCCACAATGGAGAGAGCAGAGAGGAGGCAGGGTTTTGTACCAGAGCTGAAAATGAGTGCAAGGAACATTATCTGCAAATTGTACCTGTTACTGTGACAAAAATGCTTCTACTCAAGATGAAAATGCCCTGTCTGAGGCAGCATAAAAATGAACTGTTTACTAACCGGCAACCCAGGCCGGGCTCCCGCGTGGCCAGTGACTTCGGGGGAAGGAGGGAAGGGACCCAAGTTTTGAGGATTGCAATTATGGCAATTCAAACCTACTGGGAAATGGCTCAATTAAGGGTTTTGAAACACAGGACATAAGAGCCAGGACCAGGTGCAACCACTCCTCTAGGAACAAAACCAAGTGCTTTCTTGATTCAAGTCTTTGATTGCCCATACTACAATAAAAACAGCCTTTTTCTGTTCAGGGGCTCTTGTTGACAATCCTCATTAGGCAGGACCTCCCTACTCTCTATATTTTGCTCCAATTCCCCTCTGAAGAAGGCACGTTCATCCTCCACATTCTGGTTCAGAAAGGAGAGCTGGTTGGTCCAAGCTGCCACCTGCGTCCATCAGCTCCAACAACCAAAGGAGCTGGTCCCAAGGCAGGCCAGCACCCACTGCACCGCTGCTGCGGCCAGGGACACCAGGGGACATGTTGAGGGACTGCTTGACACCGCCCTCACATCCCACCATCAAGTTTCTGCACCAGTTCCCTGATGGGTCCAGCTGCTCCCCGGGGCCACCCTGCAGTCCCCACACCAAGCCCCATCACTCCAGGGAGCACACACCAGCCCGCTGTCCCCAGCGCTGGCAGCTCAGCCCCTCCAGCTGACCCCCCAAACCCTGCATGGCTCAGCAGCCACCTTCGCGGGGGTCTGGCTGGAAAAGGAATACTTACTGCCTTCGCTTTGGTTGTCCTTGTTCGAGTTGTAGACCTGGAAAACACAAAAAGAAAGTCTTATGAACACCCTGGCTCCTCCTGGGAAGGGAGGGCTGACCTGTCTGGTGACTTGTCACCCTGACTGGTGACAGCCATTGAAAGGACCTGCCACCACCACCCCCAACCAGCAGCGAGGCCCCAAAAACCACCACAGCCTTCTAAATTCAACAGGTGAGGCTGCCACAGCTTTGGAGTTGTATTAAAGTAACACCAGGACAGTTCTTCATCCGAGAGAGTGCAAACGGGACGGACCAGGTAAGGATAGAACGAAAGGGGCTTTTAAACAAACCGAAGGTGGGCATTCCTCTCCTCCAAGCTCTTCTCAAAGATGCACATAAAGGATATAAACTCGGAGCAAAGCAGCCAACTCCCTTTACATCTTATGGGAATTACAGGAATATCTGGTAGGGGCAAACTCAGGGAAGGAGTAGGAAGCCACCCTTGCTCAAGTACTTTGAGCCTGAATGAACAACTCAGGCAAAGACTAAGAGAGGAGAAGAAGTGCCATTCCTTTAGAGAGGGTGGAAACACAGAAGGATGAGGCAATGCACCCCACACTGCCTACGACCAAGCCACTCTGAGCCAATGCTGTGGCTTCATCCCCCTCCTGTCTTCAAACATCAACGCTCCTCCTCCTGTCCCAATCACTACTGCAGCTTGGCTACTTTAGATAATAAGAGGAAAGACAATGGTGGAAGGTTTTAATCACATTTTGAGGGTGATTTAAAAGGAAAAGGAAATCTGCGGCTGTAAGAAGCTGAGCCTTCAGACAGGTTGCACTTCTCCAGCTCAGAGTGAAATGTTTAAAGTAATCCTCCACCAGCCCAGAGCCCCAACAGAAACACACACTCTGGCACCCCAACAGCATCACGAGCCGGAGCCGAGCGTGGCAGCATCCATCCCAACAGGGAGAAAGGCCTGGGCAGGCTGTTAAAGCCAGCCGGCAGCGTGCACACCCTTCCTCCGCCGGGAGCCCCTTCCCACGGCACGGGGAGCCGGCGCAATCACATGCTGCCTCCAGAAATAGCAAGTGGGAAAGGAAAGTTTCCAAAGGCGTTGTTGGTAGCAACACACAAGGCAACAACAGCCGGCACATCCGAGGGGAGCGGGGAAGAGGAGAGGCTCTGATCTGCCATCAGACAGGGAAGAGTTCCTCCACCTTCCCCACCGCAGGCTCCCAATTTATAGTACAAAGGGCAAGCACAGAGATTCAGGAGCTGCCCCGGGGTGCAAGGGTCTGTGAGCTGCCAGGAGTCACCCAGACAGCCCCAGCAGAACCAGGAGGATGGGAAGCCGATAGCATCATGTCCTCAAAGGTTCGGTGCCAGCGGCAGCCAGGCACACAGGCTGCTCACCTTGCCACCGTGCTCACCCTGGGTACCCCCGCACCAACCCAATATCCCCATTCCCATAACAAAAAAAAAAACAAAAAGGCTTCGTGTTACCTAGCACATCACCGTTAGGCCACTCAAACAGATCCCTTCCTTGGAGGTCATCAAAACACAGGCTGTTGCTCTCTTGCTTAATGGCCACGGCGCCAGCCGTGCCGGGAGCCACCGGCGCGGCACACCGGAGCACATGCCAGTCGGAGCGGTGAGCTGGGTGCAGTCAGCATTAAAGAATGACCTGATCCTGTTCATCTGTCTCATGCAGGTCTGTTTTTGAGGGAGGGAGACCTGTCCCTCAGTGTCACCCACCGCAAGGCCAGTGCCAGCACGGCCAGAGGGCAGCAGGGCAGCTTGCACCAGCTCCGCCACCCAGAACACATTCAGGGAAGCACAAATCTAACGGTGTAGCTCAAAACTAGGGGTTTGGGCAGGGACTGACCCCCTCCAACACTAATTCCTACTCTTCCTGGCATGTTTCCCAAGAAGCACCTTCCCTCTCCCCATCCCAAGACACCTAGCTATGCAATGCCAGATTTGTGTTGGCTGGGGAGAATCTCTCATCCCACATCTGGAAACTGGAGGATGATTCGGCAGCAAAACCAGCTGTAGTCAGCAAGTGAGTTTTCCTGAAGGAACGATGATTGTATCAAGGAAATTCAATCTGTGAAAAGAGAGAAGAGAACCAACAGTGGGCTCCTCCGTCAGTGGTGCTGCCTCCAGCCCTGGCCGTGAAGGCAGCCTTCCCTGATGAAGCTTTTCCTCTCAAACCTCAGCACCTCAGTCGAGGACTTATTGAAGGGAGCAGCTGGAGGTAACCCTTACTCAAAGGCTTGCACAGCCCTTCCTCAGGATCCCACATGGACTTCAAGCCCTGCGCTCCTCCCCGGCTCACCCCAGACGTACGGGTTAACACGTCCAAGGCCAGGCTGGATGAGGCTTGGAGCAGCCTGGGCTATGGAAGGTGTCCCTGCCCATGGCAGGGGGTGGGACTGGGTGGGCTTTGAGGTCCCTTCCCAACCAAATCATTCTGGGATTCTATGATTACATACAATAAAAGGATGATTTAGCTCTTACAGCTTGGCTTTCCAGCTACTTCCCAAGAGGTCCACCCAGCCAACACCCTGCTTTGCCCCGGGCTGCAGTTCCAGCCTAGCCACCAGCTCCTGTGCTCAGGACACCAAAATATTTTCCAGTTCTTCTAGGTCAAGTCAGGTTTCAGCCACTTGGCTCTGGCACCTACATGCTTCCTGGGACAGATCCCCTATCTGCCGTCCTCCTCCCAAGAGTTTCCAACGCTGGCCAGGACTAAAGGGACAGTCATGCAGCTCAAGTTATGGTGCACAGCACATCAACTACGCAGAAAAATGCATTTGCCTGCAGATTTGCTCTTTCAGTTTGGTTACACGAAACAATAGAGAGGTTGTTAATCATCAGAGACTGTTCTTTAAAAAAAGGGAAAAGGACAGCCAAGGAAACACAATATGCTTCTGCCATTAATTGCAAAGTATGCACACAGTGAAAAGGAAATTTCATGCAGAGGTCAACTATGCAACCATAAAACAAGGAGATACTGTCATCCTACATCCATCTTATTAAGGACAAACCTTTTATCCATTGTCAGTGTGTTAATCCATTAACACCACTCCATAACATCAAGGTTTTAACCATCCCCAATTCTGCAATATTGTTTCCTTTTCCAAGAAAAACATTACTTTTTAAAAAGAAGGCCTTTTCCTACACTACCTCAAGCCTTCTGAAGAGATTTTTTTTAGGATAAGAGAAAGTTTGCAATTTCAGAGAAAGGGCAGCTGTGTAAGAGGTCCAAGAGCGAAGCTCCTCCAGTGCCCTGAGGGCCATCATCTGCCAAAAACATGCCCTTGGTGCAGCCAGACCGGGCTGGCCCAGCCTGCGGAGACCCTCAGGCTCCTGCACAGCAAATGCCCTTCCTGACCAGCTTGCCTTTATGGATATTAAT